TGTATTGGGCATATAGGGCTAGACCTATATTTTATAGAGCAGTCGGCCCTTGGTCGTGATGTGGTCAGTATCATGCAAGCCACCTTTACTTCCCAGGACTGTATCTGATACCCCCTCAGCGCTGGGTCGACCTGGGAGCCAAGGTAATTTTTGAACCTACAAAAGAATCATTAAAATGATCAGGAAACCACCAGCCCCAGCACAAGAAGACTTTTTTATTATGGACAGACCAGAACAAGTCATTATCCTCCACCTCAGAACAGGGCACAACCAATTACTTAACCACATGTACACAAAATTCAAGATAGGTGTATCAGCCATGTGCACCTGTGGAAATATGCCCCAGACAGCAGAGCATGTACTCCAGGCCTGCACTGATTTTGACACCTTAAGGCAAACCTTTTGACCAGAAAGAACAACAGTGGAACGTAAACTCTACGGACCACTGAATGAACTAACAACGACAGTGAAATTTATACAAGAGACAAAACTGCTGATATAGACAACTTATTTCAGGCGAACGAAAGAAGAAGAAGAAAAACCCACAAACTTCAGATCTGCAGGCGAGTGTCTAGCCACTACACCACAGTGGCCAGCAAGGAGCCACTCTCCCCCATAAAGCATTTCATAGAAGTCAACTAATTAGGGGTGTTTCCTTCAAAGCTGGAGTGCGTCTGCCTGAGAGGTAAGGAGAGAACAGTCTGCACACAAATAAGCCAGATTGGTAAAATGGGTATGCACGCAAAACTCAAGTTCTGGAGCAAGACTGAAGCCCAGAAATGAGTGAAGAACTAGAACTTTCCACAGGAGTTTACAGCTTGTGAAGGCACAGAAGAAATATTTTGGCCCGACTCGCTGGCTCAGCTGGTTAAAGACCTCTGCGCGACGACTGGGTGACGAACTCCCTGTGGTCTGGGTTTATGTCCGGGGGTGGGTAGACAGAATACCCATATTTCTCCCAGATTTACAGTATCTATAATTGAATCAAGGCCAAAGGGTTGCGATATCCATAGTACCGAGCCAAAGGGTTCACAACTCATGGTTTCTGGATGCTGAAAAAAAAAGTCATTTTGGAGGGAAAAGTTGAAGGCGAGTGAGCAAGAGGCAGATGGCGATACAAATGTGAGATTAACATCAAGATATGGATAGATGCAGTCTGAATATACAACCACTGTGAAAGACGACGCAATCTGGAGATCTGTTGCTGTTATCTGTTTTAATTAACACAATCTGTGCAATATTGAATGACAAAATATAATTAGAAAAAATAAATAACTATAACAGATAAAGATGAACATGCTGTATATCCCCATTATAACTCAGAAGAGTTTAACAGGTTATTGTGAACTTTCTGCTTCCGTTAAAAAAAAAAAAAAGGTTGAGGGGGAAATCGTGGCTAGGTCGGGCAGAAGATGTTATTAGGCAAATATGCAGCCTAACCGACATCATACCTGGTGCAGAATGGATACCTGTGCCTCAGGCGTTTATTTGTACATTCTCCTGTATTGTCACACTCAACAGGCGATTTAGAGAAGAGAATCCTGTTGCTGTTAATGCAGAGGTCAACGCTCTCATCGGTGAAAATTCAGACGAAGCAGATGCAATAATCTATACAGACGGATCCGTTATACGCCAAAGAAGAAGCGCATGGGCATTTACAGCACGCTCAGCGGGCAGAACAGTCAAAGAAGCCAACGGCGCCTTCTCCATGACAACCAGCAGCATGACGATGGAGGTGATGGCAGTGACGCAAGCGCTTGCCTGGCTTGAAACACAAAAATACACCCGCGTGTTTATACTCAGTGATTCAATGAGTATGATCCGGAGGGTTCAGGCAGGTTCGGTGCGAAGACAATGGCTTGAATCTTTACAGAAGTCCACTGTGCGTGGAGTCACCTTTATTTTGTTCCGGGATACGCAGGCGTCGATGGAAATGAAAGAGCTGATAGGTTGGCTGGATCCGCTATCACTACCGACGGTCAGCCTATGGATCATGCTGATATTATCAATGCCCTCAGAGAAATGGGAAGGATAGAGGACTTTGGTGGCAGTGAATCCACATCACTCGCCAGAATGGCAGACTTGGGAATTAAGATCGGCACAGCAAAAAACGAGACGCACACCAGACACGCCAGAAGACTTAATCAACATAGAACTGGTACTATTAGCCATCGGACGTTGGGGTTCATACTGAGGGGAGGATCTGAGCACATGTCCGGAGTGCAATGAGGACAACCCAACTAACTAACTAACAAAGGTTGAGACAAGTTGTTTTTTTTGGCAGTGGTGCATCTAAAGAAAAAAAAGTCATATTGGAGGAAAAAGTTGTAGACGAGTTAGCGAGAGGTAGGCGGCGATACAAATGGGGGAAAAAGTAAAGGAAAGGTTTTTTTTAATGCCAGTGGCACATCGGGCATTTTTAGCCAGACACATTTTATAGACCAGTGAAAACTTGATGAGTGAGTTCCTCAACATCATGCTCACCAGCTTTACTTTCCAAGCCTTGCCTGGTACCCATTTTAGGCTGGACAATCTGAGCCAACGTCTTTAAAAAAAATTGGATATTGTATTGACACCAGGACCCTCAGTTCAGCAGGCAAACCTGTAACCACAAAGCTCGTTTGGTTCCCATTCATCATTGTAACGTGCTTTCTCATCTGTTGTGGGCAGTCTTGCCTCTCCACAATCTGCCATCTTCAGCATACATGTGTCAGTTTATGTGTTGGCACCCCTCCATGCCATGACAAAAGGCTGTCAAGAATTGAGTGGAGTCAAGAATTGACATCACAACACTTGGGGCATTCCCATGCATGCTCCATCTTCATCTTCAGCAGCCAGCGTAGAGTTCCAATACTGATGGTAACTGTCATAATCTGGGTGTATATCCGTCTTGCCTTTCCTCTGAGTGTAGTGACCTGGCCAGACCCTGTGGTTCCTCATTCTCTCCAGGCCATAATAATCTTCTATCTCTGCTAATGCCATTGCTTGTTCCCAAAGGGTCTTGACCACATCTGCCTTGTCATGTATCAATTCACCATCCAGTGGTGCAGATCATGGCGGTTGAGAATAGTCTTGCATTGTCTTCCTCTGGCTCTTTTTCCACAGATCTTTCTAGTTTTTTTTTTTTTTTTTTTATCGATCACCGGCTGTGAATTCCAGTGGAAGGTCCCGGTTAATCGTCCGCTTGGACTTTTGGCTTTCACCTGGACCTGATTTTTGCGTGTACAACGGTTTTTCATTTCCCTGCCTCATGGGCAGCTGTACTCCGACTTCGAAGGAAGACGTCAGGCCTATTTCTAGGTTGACTGTGGCCATTGTTTTGTGTGGGTTGAGACGTTGCCTGATTTGTGTGGTGTCCACTTTGTCTCCTCCGCAGGTATTGCCCTCGGAGTACCCCTTTGGGGCAGCCCCCTGTGGAACAGTTAGCCCTCAAGGGAAGGCAGGGGCAGATCATGGGCATTCCCCGCCATCCAAGGAGGCTTCCATGCATGCAGAGCCGGCACATGGCGCTCTGGTTCTGGGCTCACCCAAGGAATCGTCACGTCCTGCACATGCCTGCTTAACCTCACAACCGTATCAGGCCTCCCGCTCGACAGGGGCTGCGCCCTCTGGAAGTCAGCGGGGAGCAGCCCGTGGGTTTTGGACTTTTGTGACCACACAGATAGGTACATTCTTTTTTTCTTCGCACGTTAGATTTCTTTGACGAGCCGTTAGCCCGACAGAATTTTACATCCTGCATCTGGCATATCGTTATCGGTTTTGTCCCAACACTCGGGCGAGTGGGGTCTTTGGATGTGGACATTCAGTCTTTTTCAGTTCAATACAAATTTTGATGGTCAGATTTTGATCCGTATGATCTAGTTTTGTCGGACAATTAGGGTGGTTGCTGTTGTGGTGTACCTCAGCGCGGTGTCGACGACACTGAGGGTTAACCGAGGATGTACATAAATGGCCAGCCTATGGATGGTTGCTGTTGTGGTGTACCTCAGCACTGTGACGACGACACTGGGGGTTAACCGAGGATGTACAAGGATGGCCAGCCTATGGATGGTTGCTGTTGTGGTGTACCTCAGCGCGGTGACGACGACACTGAGGGTTAACAGAGGATGTGCAGTGAACAATGTTCTCTTTACTCCGCAGTCTTTTAACCAAGGGTTGTAATTTTGGCTGTACGTTTGGCAAACCTACTCATGTTCCTAATGAGTTTTGATAACATTTTTCACCCAAGCGTTTGGGGGCGGGCTGATGAGAGCCACAAGGACACATCACCTCTGGGGGCCGCCGAACTCCGAGATCCCCTGACAGCTCTATTAATGCTCATTTGAGACATTATCTGTGGCGCACGACGAGGACGTGCTGTAGGGGTCTTGCGTGAGGTTCCGTACAACCAGGATAGTTAAGGACTGGCGCCCGAGTGACGTACGGAGTATCTCCTTATACACATCATGTTGGACTTAACTTCCCCTCACGCCTGTGACATAAATCACCGCGCCACATCTTTCTAGTGGTCACAGCATGTTCCAGTTTCCTTCTCTTAAAGCATGACCAAAATAATGATGGCTGTCTTATTCTGATGTAAGTGATACCTATTAACGCTATAAATGAAACCAAGGGAACAAGCGGGCAGACTATCTTGCTGACACTGCTGTTGCTATGACTGGTCTAGTACTGGACAGAAGTGATGTTATCAATGCCATACGCTGCTCTTACCGTACCGAGGAGCACACCAAAGGGCATGACTTTGTATCCCTGTCTAGACTGATGGACATGGAGTGCAGCCTGGAGCTGGAAGAAATGAACATTTCACTAATGGGACAAGACGTTTCATTAACCAACACAGAACAGACGTCATCAGTCATTCATTTTACACTTGTGGAGCTTTTGAGGAGGAGATCAGAGCACCTATGGATCTGTCCAGAGTGCTGTGATGATAATCCTTTCTAATCACTGAATGAAACTACCTTTCTTGTGTTTCCACTGAGCTGTCAATTCTTCCACAGGTTGACAGAGCAGACAGGAACTTTGAAACTGATTGTAATAATGCCCAGAAAGAATTTGAGGTATGTGGATGTAGGCATCGTAGCTCAGTTTTTGCTTGTAGCATTTTACTTGTACATTTTATGCATTGTTCACAGCATTTGTTTCACTGTCTTGTAGCTGGCTGCTCACAGTGTCTCTACTTACCCACTTACACTGGTGTTTTGTTTTTCTTTTATAGTAACTAGTCTGGTGTTTGATGTATTGAGTATTGGTAACTTTTATCATCCACATATTTTTAGTCTTTTAATCCCTAGCTGGTGTTTATTTAACCCTTACTGTTCCAAGGAGTTCATATTAACCCTTTTGCCCAACAAATGCTAACAAAAATGGGTCTTAAACACAAGGGGATTTCCTGGGGGAAAAAATCAAGCATTTTTAGTCTTCTTGAGGCAACAAGGTTAAAAAGTAACAAATGCTTTTATCTGACAAAAGAGTTAAAACACTATAGGGCAAAAGCAAGACACACACCTGACATACAAAAAGACTTATCAGTCAACAAAGAACTGGCACTATTAGTCACAAGATGCTTGGGTTCATACTGAGGGAAGGATCTGAGCACCTATGGACATGTCCGGAATGCAATGATCATATCCCAACTAACTAACTAAAGGGAAAAAGTGATCAGACAAATAATTAGAAATCAAAGGGATAACATAACGATTGTCTGTGACAGAAGACCAAAAAATAAAAACATAATTTCTTAAATGAAGAAGACATTTTTTAGGGAATGAATAAATATACCCTGCAAATTAGTTGACAGTTTTTAATTCTACAAAATAAAACAGCTCTAGGATGTGGAGATACCGTTTTTAGGCAGTAAATTAGACAAAAACAACGAGAGTAGACAAGACGAATAATAACCCAATCTCACTTAGTGAAACTTTACTCCAGGATGTGGAGACAAGCACCAATTTGGTCAGTAAAGTAGCTAAAGATGGGGGAACAGATAGCGATACAAAAATATACATACAAAACACAAAAGTAAATTAAAACTAGCATCAAACTTGAAACATTTATTTCTGTCAAATCAGTACTGTTGTATTCAAGTGAAACATGGAAAATAACTACAAGTTAGTATAATGTATAAACATTCATTAACTGGTGTCTACACAGAATAGAGGGAATACAGTGGTACAATTGGATCATTAAGTAAAGCTTTGATAGAGAACCAAATGAATTTCAGTGGACAAGGTGCGATGAAAAGATGCTGTCGTTGGATACAAATCTGATTATAGAACTAGAATGTCCTGGAGCCCACAAGATTAATGGAAGAAAGTTGGAACTATACAGATATAGGGAATTAAATGATTTAACAGAACCACTATTGCAGAGCTTTGGTAGAGAACTGAATGTATTTCACAGAATCGAAAGGTGAGAAGAAGATGCTGGCTTTAGATAGGACACACTTTGACAACATCTGCTAAAGAGTAACTAGATTTTCCTTTCACTGGAACTCACAGTGTCAGTGGAATAAAGGCAGGCACAACAACACCTGGAAAAGGAGACTTCAGAGAATGAAGTGAAAAATATTAGATTTATAGATACAGGTTAGATAAGCTGATGGCAGTGCGCTCAGTGAGACAATCCGTCTCATCTTATGAAGCCGGCCTGGATTTTCTTGAGTATATTTTTCACAGTTGGTGCTTATCGTACAAATTCATGCCATCTTTATGTCCACATGAATCCTCAAGTCACACACCCACACCCTGGTAATGAGCTCTACCTACACATGGGTATGTTTCTTTTCCTAACAATTTTGTCAAGGTAGCAGTTTTTAACCAACTTGTTTGGGGATACTTCTGTTCTTCAACTCTTTCCAGGGATACTTCTGTTCTTCAGCTCTATCCAGGAAGACAAGGTATCAGTCTTGCTGTCCAGGAGGCCATGTAATAGTGTGGTAACTTTAGAAATCAGTGGTTCTTGTAACTGTTTCAAACCTGGCAACAAAAATCAGAGTATCATGTAACCTTTTCAAATCTGGCAACTGAAATCATAGGTTCTTTAAATAGTTTTGTCCTTGAAAAACTTATGTTTTATCAAACTGGCAAATGAAATTATTGATTTTTGTTAAGACTTTTTCAGGCTGGCATGTGAATTCAGTGATTCTTATAACTGCTTCCAACATGACAACTGAAATTGATGGTTCTTGTACAAGTGTCCAACTTGGCAAAATAAATAAGTCATTCTTTAAACATTTACAGTCTAGCAACAGAAATCAGTGGTGCTTGTAAACTTGTTCAAGCTGGCCGCATAAATAAGTTTTTGTAAAAGTTCCCAGCCTACCAGTGAAATTCATCCTTGTAAATATTTCCAATCTGGCAACAGAAATCAATCAATATTGTCCAGCCAGGCAGTCTCAGAGCCAAAGTTAGATCAGCCTTTCAGTAATGCCTCCTTATTGAAGATTCAAAGCCGCATCACTTCCATTAGATTGTCCACAGCCCTTTGGGAGGAAAATTGTGCAATGCTCACCCACTTTGAAAATCACCGCCTTAACTCTTTCAGGCCCATGCATTTTGACAGACTTGGCTCACATTAATTTCCCTTTACAAAAACGGCAGATGGGGTTGTGGAAAAAAGCAGTTAAGAATGTAATGTATTTCTAATTCTTATTAGAAAAAAAAAAAAAAAAAAAAAAAAACTATATATATATATATATATATATATATATATATATATATATATATATATATATATATATATATATATATATATATATATATATATATATATATATATATATATATATATATATATAATTTTTTTTTTTTAAAGAAGAATGAATGTACATTTTGCTGATGATATGTTTTTGTTTATTGCTGTTATAAGTAGTTAAAAAGAAAGGAAAAAATTCAGCAGGTGTTATGTTTTAAAAGACAGAATTTTACACACACACACATACATACACGCACACAAACAAACAAAATGGACATAGAGTGAGTGTACACATGATATCAAAAGATAGGATGACTTGGCATGAGTTAGTTAGGCCTCCCTGCTCCATTTATGGATAACCAGTAGAAGAAGAAGGAGAAGAAAATATAAAAATGACCTATGTCTTTGCATGCTTTCAAAAGTAATCTAGTAAATTTTGATAAGTGGTATCACATATGACATAAAACCTTGCATATTAACAATATAATTTAACCATGCTGTTTGTTTCCTTGTGTATCTTGTAGCTGCAGAATATAATCTCTGGAATTGTCGCTGATTTCTTAGTTTATAGCTCACAAATTCAAGCTCCTTGGAAATTTTTAACTTCTGTTTTTGATAATTTCTTTTCTCTGAATATATCATGTACGTCATCCCTTTAAGTTTTTCAAAAGCGAAATACTCACATATAGCTTAGATTCTATGCATTTTGTAAAGTTTGTTTGAACTAAGATTAAGCACCTTAGTTATTTTGTTACTTGTGCTTCTAAAATTGTGGGTGTAAAGGATAAAAACTGTTAACCATAAGAAGTCTCAGATATTAGAGCATGATTATATACTGCTTTACCGCTTAATAAGTTAATGTTGCTGGTATCAGACAGCAGAATCTTGCATTAACAGCTGCCAAAGGCATCTCAGAGTTGTTAACAAAAATACTTTCTTTAGGTAATTTCTTCGGGGCATGCTTTCGCTGGTTCTGCACCAGTGGGTGGTGAATTTATGCATGACAAGGTCTTTTGGAGCAAGTGAACAGCGTGGAGGGCCGAATCGTTCGTAGTGGTGTGGAGGGCCGAATCGTTCATAGTGGTGTGGAGGGCCGAATCGTTCATAGTGGTGTGGAGGGCCGAATCGTTCATAGTGGTGTGGAGGGCCGAATCGTTCATAGTGGTGTGGAGGGCCGAATCGTTCATAGTGGTGTGGAGGGTCGAATCGTTGGTAGTGGTGTGGAGAGAATGGTACAGCTGGGAGTGACCAGCGGATCTTATCGACACTCAGCACTCAGAGGAAAAGCAAGATGGACTATAATCTGCTATTGACACTTTCTGAATTTTGGCTGCTGAAGTTGTGGACAGAATGCTTATGATAATGATCCTAGTGTTGTTTTATCAATTCTTAGCTCAGCACTCAACAAATGTTTTAAACAGTAGGAGAAAGGATGAATATTTACTACCCTAGTTTTCTTAGTAAGTTAACTCTCACAAGTGTGATATTTATGTTGAGTACCTCGACCTGTTTCAGAAAGATCGAGAGGCAATGAAGGAGCGCTTGCTTGAGCATTATAAGGTATTAGTGACGGAGATTTCGCTTACATTAGAGAACTGTTAACATCTGTGCTTATGTTACTAATTTATTAACTTATGCTTATGTTACTAATTTATTAACTTACCTTTCTAATGGATCTAGTTTACTAATATGTATGCATTAGTCTTGATCAAGGTTTCAACTTCACCCCAGTCGAGTCACCCCATACTTGCTCTATTCCTATGTCAGTGAAAATCAAATGAAATGTATCTTACTGTCGCGTTTGAAAAACTAGTGAACAAACAGTTAGTTCCATCACAATCCAGAAATTTTTACATGCATTAAATGCTAGAGATGACCGAGCTAACAGTCGTCACCAGAAAGGCAGTTTTTCATTGATGGAAGTAGTCGGTCATGACAAGGTAGTTGTACACATGTAAAATTGTTACATTAGGTTTTTCGCCAGCTAACAAATAAATCAGCTACCAGCCATATTGAATATCACGACTCAACCACTGAAAAAATGGAAGGCATTCCACGTGTGTGAATATACAGTCTAACAATCAGATAAAAGTGAAGAGACTTTTTTTATGCTTTCAAGCAATTTGGGCATATAGGGCTAGACCTATATTTTATAGACCAGTCATCACTCAGCAGGTGATGTGGTCAACATGCCAGCCACCTTTACTTCCCAGGTCTTTACCTGGTACCCATTTAGGGCCAGGTCGAACTGGGAGTAGTTAGATAATTTTTAGTTTTATATTACAAAATAAAAGTTAGTTGTTTAACCTTTACAGGATTTTTGCATGGTTTTACTAGGCAGTTTAAGTTCAGTAGTTTGCCATTGCTTTCTTAAAAATCTGCTCAATGCCACTGTTGAAATCACCATATGCTGTCAAATTACCTACATCTGAAATAGAACCGGGTACTTCTGAATTAGGAGTTGTCTTGGCAAAGCCACGGATCGGAAGGTCATGGGTTCGCTCCCTGGCGGAGATGGACTTTTTTAAAAAATGATCTTTGCTCCAGTTGACCCAGCCTTGAGTGGGTACAGCATGCAGTCCTAAAGGCGTGGAAAAGGGCCCTTTACTTTTTTTTACTTACTTCGGAATTACAAAGAGCGGTTCTGAGCTGCAGGTGTTTATTATGACCAAGATAAAAATGCCATCTTTGAAAAGCAAAAACACCCAAATAGCAACTTTCATTTATGATCTGGTAAGATTTAGTGCCACATTTTCAGCAGATGACAAACAGAACCCACCATTTTGTTTTAGCTAGTTAGATGTGTATAGATACATATGCAACATGGAGCAAAAGGCAAAACCTACATTCTGTTTAAAACACTGAAAAAAAGTGGGATTGAGACAGTTGAATTCAAGAGACAAGTTTGTGGGGGGGGTCAGCATTTATCTTGTGCAAATATTCAGGTTGTATTTGTGATTTAAACCAGTGTGAAACAAAGACAGTGCTAGGCTAGGACTTGAAGTTTCTGTTCACAATGATAAACTCATTACCATAATTAGAGAATGGTCTTGCAAAGATTGATATCACATTCTTTGGATGTTGGCAGAAGAATTTTTGTGTCAGTCAAGAGGCAATCTGTCAAATTTTGGTAGCAGATTTTTGTAAGAAAAAGTCTTGTCCTGGTTTATGCCGCAATTTTTTTTGTGGGTCTGACGAACAAAAACGTTTGTGTCTTGCGTGTGTAAGTTGATTCCTATGGCATGATAATGCACTGGCTCACAAAGCAGTTGCTGCACAGAAATTTTTCATTAAAAAAAAAAAAAAAAACCAGCTCATGCTCTCAGTCTTCCCCCATACTTTCCAGATTTGTCTCTCTGTGATTATTTTTTCTTCACGAAAGGGCGCCGTTTTGGTGATATTGTTGACTTCCTGTGAGCTATAACTTGTCATTCCAGTGTTCTTTAGATTGTGTCAGTCACTGTTTTGTGCTTTTTAGTTAGTGTTCACCAGCTGTAAGCTCAGGTGGTTAGTCCTGGTTGTTTGTCCATTGCTGAAATATGTTCCAGGACCTGAGTTTTGCATGCACATCTGTTTTACATGTGTGGCTTATTTGTATGGAGACTGTTCTTTTTTCTACCCAACTCTGAGGCAGATACACTATACTTTGAAGGCAACATCCCTTATCATGCTTCTCGTCCTTTTCAGGACGAAATTTTTCGTTATTTGAAGCACTACTCTGGCTCTTGCCAGGGGCCGCAATATAGCCCGGCCATAAATATGGCCTAATGGCTGAACGCAGTTTCTGGGACCTCTCCATGGTGATCCTCATCCACATGGTGGCACATTATGTCATCGGGTGTTTATCGCTTGTGTGATGTCCTGGTGGGCTAGAAAGTCAGTAAGTCAGTCGGCAACATCCCTAATAAAGAATATTGACATTCCAATATGGGTCAATTTTTTTTGCTATTTTAAAGACTCATCCTGGCTGTCGTCAAGTTCCCTAATATAATCAGTACGTGTTGAACGGGGTTTCTGGGACTTGTCCCTAGGTAATCCTCATCCGAATGGTGGCACTTTGTGTTACCAGGTGTTTATCGCTCGGTGTGATGTCCTGCTGGGGTTGAGCCTCTGTCAGTCATTGAACACCCCCTAACAACCAGTTTCAGCTGTCCCAGTACGGGACGCAATGTTTTGTTATTCTAAAGCCACACTCCGGCTGTTGTCAGGGGGGGGGCTCTAATAAAACCTAACGACGGATTTAGGTTTCTGGGACTTGAGCCCGATGATTCTCATCCGAATGGTGGTATTTTGTGTCACCAGGTGTTTGTGGGGTTGTTTGTTGTGTGGTCCTGGTGGTGATGAACTTCATTCACTCAACACCCCTAATTAGTCATCTTTTACAACAGACTTTTAAAGGGCCATAGAACCACTAAAGACGTGAAATGGAATTTTGAATGGATTTGAAATAAAAAGCCTAAGGAGACTTATAAGCAGTAAATGGGATGAATTCTAAGAGCGGCGGGAAAATAAGAGAATTGTCTGGACAACCAACTGGTGTTAACATTATTAAGGAAAAAATAATGATGCTTTTTTGGGCATAACTTGAAAAGAAGTGAGCAGAGAATCACCAGATAGGTAATGGAATAGGAAAAAAATTAGATTTAGGAAACTAGGACATCCAACAGAAACCCTGAGATGAATGTGGTTGAGAGAGGCCAAGGGTGCTTGAGAAAGGAAAAGTGGGTACATCTTGACAGCAGGAAAGTGAGGGGGGGAGAAGATGTTGTTTGTTGTCATGGCATCAAAGAATATGTGGAATAGTTAACAATACACAGAAGAGAATTCATTGGACAAACAAAATTACCAGGGCTACGCTGCACAGATTATAAGAAGTTGATTTATATTGTGTCATAATTTAGTTATTTTATATAATTATATTTGATTAAATGAAGTGCACTATTTTATTGATTATGTTACTTATTGCAAATACAGTATTTAATTGTTTTCATTCGTTTATAAATAACAATCTAATTATTTTTTATTTATTTAAAACATTTAATAATTTGTGTGTGGGTGGTTGCCGGCTGTAAACTCTGGCGGAAAGTCCGGGTTGTTCATCCACTTCTAGGCTTTGGTCTTGTTCCAGGGCTTGAGTGTTAAATGCATATCCATTTTTTCAAATCTGGCTTATTTGTGTGCAGACTGTTTGTTCCTCACGTAGACTTTGAAGAATATGTCAACCCTACGGTAGTAAGGACCTACCTGACGAGATGCAGCGAAATATGCCAGGCAGTAAATTGTGCAATGCTTGTGTCTTCTTTGTTCAAATTTGCAATGGGGAAACATTGCTTTGAAATCTTATCTGTATTGACTAGACTCCTGATGATCATCTCTAGGCTAGCGAAGGTAAAGAGGTGCCTTACATCTCCCATTGGTTGGGTTTACTCTACCCCACTACCTGCTTGTTGTTTACAGCAGAAGATATGAGTATAGCATGAGGTAGCATTCACTGCTCTCCATATGTTGGTCCAGCTAGCAGCAGACTGGGAAGTAAAGGTGGCCATATCACCCAGGGAGTGCTGATTGGTCTATAAATATAGGTCTAGCACTGAATATCCAATATGCTTGAAGGTCTGGAAAAGGATCCTTTACTGATATCCCCTTCCCCATTGGCTGTCATGTAAACTGCTTTGTTGTATTGTTTGCTTGTGCTCTGAGCTATAAATATGTTCTATAAGGAAGAATTGAGGGGCTTTAGAGCTGAAATGCTATAGAAACATTCTCAGAATACCATAGACAAAGAAGAGAAGAAATGCTGAAATTCTAAAAGATCTGATCGTCAAGTAAGAGTTCTTAATAAACAGCATCTTGTCTCAGAAACTGAAACATTTTGGCGATATCAAGCACCATGGCAGACTGGAAAAAGTAAAAGCAGAAGACATGGTACCAGGAAGGAGGGGCAGGGGCCGACCAACAGTAAGATGGGGACAGGATATAAATGACTCCTTGGATTTGAAAGTGCACGGGGTGGGTGTTCGAGTTTCTTTCAGGCAGACAATGATAAGAGTGACATTCTGCAAAGAACCTGCTACATGATGATGATGATGATAAGGCAGGATTGTTCAACAAAGTTTGCTCAGGGATCAAAATGTCAAACATTGGGTTCATCATGAGCCAGAGATGAGTCACAGCATATAAAGATCATTACACTACAACCTGCAATGATATGCAGGCCACTGCAGACCATATTCGGCCCGATTGCCTTGAATAGCCCTGTTCTGAGGAATGCAATTGTATACTTATTCTTCTTAAAAGCTCATGCTGTGTGGCATTGGTAGTCTTGTCAATCCACAGCCTTCTGCTTTTGTTGTATAGACATGACTTTGATTTGCAAAATACTTAGAGTAGGCTGCAATATCTTTCTGTGCGAACAGTGCCCATACTCGGCAGGTTGTCCTAGCCACTGTGCCTATAGAGGCATTCTCGGCCTAGCACAGTTAAAGTGATAACCAGTACTGAAAACTTTGTCAGCTGCTTGCCATGTTTATCCATCACCTGCCTGCCATGACTTCACATAACCCTGATCGGAAAGGGGGGGGGGGGGGAGGTGAGCTAAGCAAGTACTCTACTCCTGCCCATGAGGTATCCCAAAGGCTAGCGAAGGGAAGGAGGTGCCTTACATCTTCTGTTGGTCGGGTTTACCCTACCCTACTACCCGCTTGTTGTATGCAGCAGAAGAACTTAGTATAGCTTGAGGAAGCATTGACTGCTCTCCCTGATGTTGGTCCAGCCAGATGCAGGCATGCTCCTGATTATTACACCCTCAGTGCTGAGATTTTATTCTAGAAATGGGGTTATCCTTCTCTGTTACCTTTTAACACATTTGCATGTGTGCATTTGTAACTTTTTCTTCCATGTGTATGTGCCTAGCTCACTTTTTAACCTGTTCATGTATGTGCATCTTACCTTTTAAACCCATTTGTATTTGCATGTTGGTGACTTTTTAAGCATTAGACATAACTGTAACTCTTTAATCCTATGTATATATGTGTATGTGTGTGTATGAGTCTGCCTGACTGAATGTTACCTTCTGTTATCAGGAGAAAAAGGTGGACATGAAGGAGAGTTTACTGTCAGACTTGAAAGAGAAGCGCAGCATCATTGAATCAGAGAGGCACACTTTTGACTTGAATGGAGGTGAGTACTTCCCCTGTATTTCTGCTTGTACCTGGATTTATTTGCTTTGTTTTTTTAAAAAAACTCTTTACAGATTTTATCTTCTTTATCCACCCTGTCTTTTCTTTTTCCTGTTCTTTTTCTTTCTTCTCCTTTTCTTCTTTTTATTCTTCAGCTTCAAGAACTGCTGTTGGGTGTGGGTTTATTTAAAATAACAGTCTTTTGTCTCTTTCTTATTGCTGTCTATAGAGATCTACTTTCATTAGCTTCTTTCAAGCAATCGTTGTTAATTACTCTGGTTGTCCAAGGTATTTATAACATTCTTCTCAGAAATCACATATGTTGCTTCCAAATTCTTCCTAACCAAACATATCAAAGATATATCAGCAGGTTTGGCAGAAGCAAACAAAGCATCTGCTTAAAAGTAAGCATGCACCTGGGGACATCAGCAGAAGTCACCCGGAGTCATCAGCAGAAGTCACCTTGGGTCATCAGCAGAAGTCACCTGGGGACATCAGCAGAAGTCACCTGGGGACATCATCAGAAGTCACCTTGGGTCATCAGCAGAAGTCACCTGGGATCATCAGCAGAAGTCACCTGGGGTCGTCAGCAGAAGTCACCTGGTGTCATCAGCAGAAGTCACCTGGTGTCATCAGCAGAAGTCACCTGAGGTGGTCAGCAGAAGTCACCTGAGGTGGTCAGCAAAAGTCACCTGAGGTGGTTAGCAGAAGTCACCTGAGGTGGTCAGCAAAAGTCACCTGGGGTCGTCAGCAGAAGTCACCTGGGGTCATCAGCAAAAGTCACCTGGGGTCATCAGCAAAAGTCACCTGGGGTTGTCAGAGAAAGTCAGCATGAGCATTGATAAATGGACCCAATGGCTTACAGAAACAAAATATATTTACGGGGTGGTTTCCACAGCATTCTTGCAGTTTTCAAGCTTGGCTTGAAGGAGAGGCAACACATGCAGAGTGGTCACTTACCTTCTTCTGCCTTACACGTGTAGTTGGCAAGCAGTGCTGAAGTGTACGGTCTGGTTACCATATATTTATTTAACTTTTTGCAAAACACCCGTTCTCAGCAAAACATTAATCAGTCATCTTTTACAACCCATTCAAGGGACAGTGAGATTATTCTCCTCCCCCCCCCCCCCCCGCCACTGCCAGGACCCGTAGAGGTAGCCACATATATGTTCCCTTCTCTACTGTGATGTGTTCATAATTGAAGTACCAACATTGCAGATGAGTGGGCCCCGCAAATGCTCCGTTGCTGTGCCTGTGGAAGTCACATAAAATGTCCCACACTGTCCCATTTGAAAACAAGTGCTTTCTTTTTTTATGTCATGACAGTATTGACCAGATGGTTTAGTGAGCAACCAAGACCTTCTTCACGGATGGTCCCTCTTTGCAGGCTTTGTCCTTCCAACTCCCCATGCAAAGGAATGCTTTGTCTGAATGTCTGCAGCAGCAACTCCTGCTGAGCTCAAGCCCATACTTCTAAACAGTTGCTTTGTTCAGTTCTGCCACAGAAGTACAGCACATGAAAGAGCATACTACCTAGCAAAAACTGGGAGCAAAGCAAAACAGCAGTATTCAGGATGCACTTAAGAGGAGATTATTCTTTTTTGTCATTCGCCGGCTGCAAACTCTAACAGAAAGTTTAGGTTGTTCATCCACTTCTGGACTGAATGTAGAATGTTGGATTTAAAATTGACATCATAGCACTTGGGACACTCCCATAAGCGCTCCGTCCCCATCTTCAGCAGCAAGCAGAGAGTGCCAATAACTGTCTAATTGTACATCTGTCTCGCCTTCCCTTTCAGTATTGAGCATCGGCCGGATCCCCCTGGTAACTCCCCGCGGCACCATTCTCCTCAGACCGTAATGATCTGTTTGTGCCTCCGCACTGTTCACTGGGTCCCAAAGGGCCCTCACAGCATCTAGCTTGTCCACTTCTGGACTTTAGTCTTATTCCATTGTTAGAGTTTTAAAGTATTATTTATTTTTTGTATAGTCATTTATGAGGGTTAAGGCATCATGCAGAACAAGAAGGGAACCGAAAATAAGCTTTTTAGTTATCACTGCATGTGTGGATTCCAGTGCCCAGTTTTAGGGAAAACCTTGAACAGACCCACTGCAGCCCTAACAAGCATGTTGTAAAAGGTGACAACTAATTAGGTCTGAAGTCGGAGTGCATCTGCTTCAGAGGTGAAGACACAATATACTTCAAAGTAAGTCAGATCTGTGGAAATGGATGTGCATCCAATTCTCAAGTTCTGGAACAAGATCAAGGTCCAGAAATGGTCAAACAACCAGAACTTTCCACCCACGTTGTAAATGCTAAGAAGAAGAAGAAGAAGTTGAGTTCCAGGATTTTTCTTGGTGCTTTATTAATATCCTACCCCAAATAGGGAAAATCCACAGGTCACGGGTCAGTCTAATATTTCAGGGGGTGGTAGATAGGCTGCATGCAGTCGTGGGACCTAGGCTGCATGCAGTCGTGGGACCTAGGCTGCATGCAGTCGTGGGACCTAGGCTGCATGCAGTCGTGGGACCTAGGCTGCATGCAGTCGTGGGACCTAGGCTGCACTCTCTCGTGGAACATTGGTGGGTTGGGGTTAGGGTCATTTCTAGATGTTTTGGGGTCGTTAAAAGCATCAGAAAGCCGGGAAAACCAGTCTTACCACCCTCTATAATGTTGGGCTGTCCTGTGGCATCATCTGAGGTAAAATATTAATAAAGAACCTTTCTCTTTCCTCAGAGTGTTGTTTGTAAGCTAAATTGTTTGTGTGCCTGAATTTTTGCTTCATTGTGTCTTTATTTTGATATTGCAGCTGACTTCATGGAGGTTAAACCAACTGTAACCCGTAAACTCAGAAGGAGGCCAAATGACCCCGTACCTGTTCCAGAAAAACGGCGGAAACCTGCACCTGATATCCTTTTTTTTTCTGTATCTTTGTTTCCCTGGGTCAGGCAACTTGATAATCAGATGCCAGAATGGGGATCCTGATGAAGCAGTACAGAACCATGGCTAGAAACTTGCCCGAAGGTCTGGAGTTCGAATCTGCACTGTGCAGATTTGAGGGGGAGAAAAAAAATTGACCTACTTTCCTGGTCAGCTCTGCTTAAGATGGATATCAGGAAATGTCTTGGAAAGTAAATGTGGCCAACATGATGACCACATTGCCCATTGAAGGCTGATTAGTCTGTACAAATATAAGATTAGCATCATATGCTTCCTGTGTGGGTTCCAGGGTGGCATATAGGGGTAAACAAGATTAGACCCGCTGCTCTCGGACAGTTAGTTTAGTTTAGTTTAGTTTCAGGTGTGTTATAAAATGCAGCTGATTATTGATATTTTCTTCAAAGTCCGAGTGCATCTGCCTGAAAGGGGAGGAGGCCATCAGTCTACATACACACACACAGACACGGGCATGCACACATGCCCACCCACATAGGCATGCACACACACACACTCATGCACATGTAAGCCAGATCTGTAAAACAGATGTGCATGCAAAACTGAAAGTTCTGGAACAAGACCAAAGTCCAGAAGTGGGCAAACAACCAGAACTTTCTGCTGGAGTTTGCAGCTGGTGAATGCTAAGAAGAATAAGAATAATCAACATCATCTGCCCAATGCCCCACTTCCAAGAAAAGAATCTTTTTTTGTTTGTTTGTTTTGTTTTATTTGTTAAACCTTTAATGTAACAGTGATGGTACCACGATGCGATGCTAAGTCGCCTGTAGTATACAGTGTCCGCGACATCAGCGCATTCTTCTGTGTAAACTGACTAAGCACTTTTTTTAAACCACCTTGCTAAGTTAAGCTAAGTAGCTGTGTGAAAACAACTATATAAACTAAACACAATGGACTATATTTCTGTAACAGAGACGTTACACTGCCTAACTACCACTTAAATTATAATACCATCAAGCTAACACATTATCACAAACTGATCATCGCTAACCTGAATCAATTACGAAAAAATCTAGCAGTCAAAACACAGCACATCTTGTCTGAGTCTTTTAGCGACTCCCCGGAAATGCTTTTCCGGTCCTTTTTGTCCGGTCCACGTTTACCCTCAGGTCCATCAAATCTCGGTGAATCCTGGAGTATTCACTCGTCCGTCACAATGTCCTAGTCAGAAACTACCATGGGCTGTTGAGCGCATATTCGCTGAGTAGTCATCTAATTGCTGGTCCATCATTCACTTTCTTCCCCTACAGTCGTCCCATAGCCACACAGGCTCTTGACATCTGTCTAATTCTCCACCCTCAGTAAATACACTTAATATACACAGTAATACACACACACACACACACGCACACCTAAAGGCTCCCATTTCTGACTTACTACTACAAAATAATCCTTAACCACATGTACCCCAGGTCAGTCTTTTATTGGATGATGAAATAATTATGGATGACCTGCGGGTCATGCTTAAGGTCAGCGGAAAGCCCATCGCCAGAAAACAGGTGATTTCACAGCAGAGCCCTGTGGTTGATAACAATTCTGAGGTCCGGATTGAAGATGGCAGATTGTGGTATGACAAGAAATGGTAGGTCCTTTGTATGTTTTTCATTCTTATTCTTTTGAGGTCTTAGTAAAACAAAACAGTAACATATTTTCATGATTTAACTGTTACAGTTTTTTTTTTTTTTTTAAATATATATATATTTTTCAGTTTGATCCTGTTGAAGTCTGGAGGTTTACCTTCTTCTTCTTCTTCTGCGTTCGACATCAGTCATGCTAAACATTGAGTCCTGTCTGGGTCACAAATAGGATTGTGCGTTTAAGGTCGCCACCGGTCCCCCATAGCTTCTCTTTCAATGTGGCTCCCTTGGGCCAGATCCACAGTCTTTGCTGGGAGAGGTAAGGGCAGTACTGTAGTATATGCCCAGGGGTCTGTCTTTTTTCTCCACAATCACAGGCAGCAGATTCTTTTATGCCTATCCTGTACAGGTGTGCTCGAAGACCACAGTGTCCAGTCGGAAGTCTAAAAATTGTTGTTTGTTCTTTCCTTTTGAGTTTGTTTATGCTGTCACTCTCTGGTCTGTAATCTCCATTCTGCCTTCTCCACTCCCGCTTGAAAGACTGCTTTAACGCTGTTTTGGTTTCCTTGTAGCTGTGTGGTGGATGAGGTTGTGGAAGATTACTCCCAGCTTTTGCCAACTCATCTGCTCTCTCATTTCCTTGAATACCGCAGTGGGCTGGTATGGAGGTTTACCTAAAACAAAAGACAAAAAAAAGTGTAACCAGTTTTACATTTTGAAGCCTCTTGAGGTCTTGTTAGATCAAAACAGAGTAATCCCTAAACCATAAGTCATTTTGGACCCTGCCGAAGTCTTTCTTATCAGAATAAGAAAAGAGTATATTTTACATTTTGGGCACTACGGAGTTTTTTTTAGTTCTTATCAGAATAAGAAAAGTATATTTTACATTGGATCCTGTGGAGGTTTTTGAGTCTTATTAGAATAAGAAAAGAGTATATTTTACATTTTAGAGCCTGCTGAAGATCTTGGAGTTCTTATCAGAATAAGAAATGAGTATATTTAACATTTTGGATCCTGTGCCACTCTTTGAGATCTTATTAGAATAAGAAAAGAGTATATTTTACATTTTGGATCCTGTGCCGCTCTTTGAGATCTTATTACAATAATAATATAAAAAGGTTATATTTTACATTTTGTACTGTTGAGGTCGTAAAGCTTAAAAAAAAAATAAAAAACCACTGTTTATTCATTTTAATTTATTTGGGCTCTTAGAAAAAAAAGAATGTCATTTTTTCCAGTCATCATTCTTTAGACTTGTTAGGGTCCCTGAGCTGTTTGGCAAGATGTAATAGAGGGCCAATGCTCCACCTGGATCTGTAAACTTCAGCGGAAAGTTTTGGGTGTTAATCCACTTCCCAATTTTAGTCTTGTTCATAACCTGAGTATTGCGTGCACATCTGTTTCACAGATCTGTCTTATTTGCATGCAGACTCTTGGTTCCTTGCCTCTCAGGCAGATGTACTCCAGCTTCAAAGGATGGCTCCAGCTAGTCAGCTCTGACAACATGTAGTGTTGTGGACACAGTGGGTCTGTTTTTGTTTCCCCACAGTGAAGCCTTGGAACCCACACAGGGAACACACTATTTGATTTGATGTCTTGTATTGAAATTAGAATTGGTTCTGTGCCAGCTTTTCTCTTTTAACGTCATTCTTGATTTGATTTCTTGTGGTCACTCCTGGTTACTAATTTAACCATATCAGTTCACATCAATCTCTGCTATCAGTGCCAAACGTGGACACTGACACCCTCCAATGAACGTAGAATTGTAACAACAGAGATGAAATGCATTAGAAGAGCTGCAGGAGTTTCAAGGAAAGACAGAATACGAAATCAGAAGAATGCTAGGAATAAAGCCAGTCTTACAGGTCATCAAAGAACAACAGATGAAGTGGTTTGGACACTTAACAAGAATGCCCTGGTATTATCTACCACAATGAGACACACTAAAATGTTACAATGGGTATAGAGCGAGTGGAAGACCTCGGAAAATAAGGAGTGATGGCATTAAGAACAGCCTGACAGAAATGAACATCAGTCTTAATAGTGCTCTTGACAGAGCTCATCGACGAATGTTACATCTCCCCTGACACTTTGATGAGGTACAAGGTGGAAGAGGAGAAGAAGAAGTACTCATAAATACTGTATAGATAAAAGAAATGAATGAACTGAGTCAGGTTCAGTTAAGAACTAGCATCACAGCACTTTTGACACTCCAGTGAGTGTTCTGTCCCCATCTTCAGCAGCTAGCAAAGAGTTCAAATACTGATGATGCCAGTAGCCGGTTTGATTGTATGTCCATCTTGCCACTCCTCCAAGTGTAGAGTCTCGGCCAGGTTGCCTGGTCACTCCTTGCGGCACCATTCTCTTCACATCAGTTTGCACTTCCACGTTGCTCAGCACAAATAAATTCAAATATGCTGGTCTAGTTTCGCTTGCAACTAATGTAGAGCTTTGGGAGAGAACTAAGCAATCACCAGTGGACCAAGAGGTGAGGAAAAGACACTGGTGTTGGATAGGACACACATTGAGAAAACCAAACAACAGCATAACTAGAATGTCTTTGCATTGGAACCCACAGGGGCAAAGGAATAGAGGAAGACCTAAAAACACATGGAGAAGGGAGCTGGAGAATGAAGTTAGAAGATGGGGAGGACATGTGGAGAGCTGTATGCGATAGCAAAGGATAGGACTTCTTGGCGTGAGTTGGTTGAGGGCCTATGCTCCATTGGGAGCTAGAAAGGCAGAAGAAGAAGTTTCACTTCTACAGTGCATTAGAAAGAGCAAACAGCACTCATTAATCCCTACCCCAATCCCATCATCCCCCAACACTTCAATGAGGTAAGTGCCAGAAGAAAAGAAGACCCATTTTTACCAAGGTGCCATACATACCTACACCTTTCCTTTTAACAGTACATCTTTTTTCTTCAAGGTTCCAGAGAAATTCCATGGTACAAGTAGACAGTAAAGAGGGAGGACCACGTATATATGGAACAATAACAAGCATAGGCAACCAGGAGGTGGGTACATGTGGATTCCTTTTGTTTATGTATTACTCATATTTTAATGATTATAGAAATTTCTCTATGTTGGTCTGAGATTAAAACAGTCAACGAGGAGTGATTTATTGCCTGTGGCTTAGATTCTGTACAAACTATAACTCTGTAATACCCAGTTGGACTCCAGCTGCAAGCCTATTGGCAGCGAACCACTTTGCATTCATTTTGACAGTTCAGAAGCAGTGGCAAACTACTGAGCATAAACCTTCTTAATAAAACTCAACAGCCAAAAAAATAAATGCTAGGGTTGGTTGTGCATTGTCCTGTAAAAGATACACAACTAACCTATGTATGTTTGGTTTAGGTCTCTGTAGCTCTTTAAACCTCTTCTCTCCCTTTCCTTATCCATTTCTTTAACTATGTTTTCTCTCGTCTCACACTCCTGTCTTCTTCTTTGACTTTGTCTAGCTCTTACTCTATCTGTTTCTCCTGTTTAACTTGGTTTTTTTCCCCCTTCCCTTCTCTCTGTGTCACCATTAAGTGTATGTATCCTCTCTATGGCACCATTAGGTGTATCTATCCTCTCTATGTTCCCATTAAGTGTATGTATCCTCTCTATGTCCTCATTAAGTGTATGTATCCGCTCTATGGCACCATTAGGTGTATCTATCCTCTCTATGTTCCCATTAAGTGTATGTATCCTCTCTATGTCCTCATTAAGTGTATGTATCCTCTCTATGTCCTCATTAAGTGTATGTATCCTCTATGTCCTCATTAAGTGTATGTATCCTCTATGTCCTCATTAAGTGTATGTATCCTCTCTATGTCCTCATTAAGTGTATGTATCCTCTATGTCCTCATTAAGTGTATGTATCCTCTATGTCCTCATTAAGTGTATGTATCCTCTATGTCCTCATTAAGTGTATGTATCCTCTATGTCCTCATTAAGTGTATGTATCCTCTATGTCCTCATTAAGTGTATGTATCCTCTATGTCCTCATTAAGTGTATGTATCCTCTATGTCCCCATTAAGTGTATGTATCCTCTCTATGTCCTCATTAAGTGTATGTATCCTCTATGTCCTCATTAAGTGTATGTATCCTCTATGTCCTCATTAAGTGTATGTATCCTCTATGTCCTCATTAAGTGTATGTATCCTCTCTATGTTCCCATTAAGTGTATGTATCCTCTATGTCCTCATTAAGTGTATGTATCCTCTATGTCCTCATTAAGTGTATGTATCCTCTATGTCCTCATTAAGTGTATGTATCCTCTCTATGTCCTCATTAAGTGTATGTATCCTCTATGTCCTCATTAAGTGTATGTATCCTCTATGTCCTCATTAAGTGTATGTATCCTCTCTATGTTCCCATTAAGTGTATGTATCCTCTATGTCCTCATTAAGTGTATGTATCCTCTCTATGTCCCCATTAAGTGTATGTATCCTCTATGTCCTCATTAAGTGTATGTATCCTCTATGTCCTCATTAAGTGTATGTATCCTCTCTATGTTCCCATTAAGTGTATGTATCCTCTCTATGTTCCCATTAAGTGTATGTATCCTCTCTATGTTCCCATTAAGTGTATGTATCCTCTATGTCCTCATTAAGTGTATGTATCCTCTATGTCCCCATTAAGTGTATGTATCCTCTCTATGTTCCCATTAAGTGTATGTATCCTCTATGTCCTCATTAAGTGTATGTATCCTCTATGTCCCCATTAAGTGTATGTATCCTCTCTATGTCCTCATTAAGTGTATGTATCCTCTATGTCCCCATTAAGTGTATGTATCCTCTCTATGTCCTCATTAAGTGTATGTATCCTCTATGTTCCCATTAAGTGTATGTATCCTCTATGTTCCCATTAAGTGTATGTATCCTCTATGTCCTCATTAAGTGTATGTATCCTCTCTATGTCCCCAATAAGTGTATGTATCCTCTCTATGTCCTCATTAAGTGTATGTATCCTCTATGTCCTCATTAAGTGTATGTATCCTCTCTATGTCCCCATTAAGTGTATGTATCCTCTATGTCCTCATTAAGTGTATGTATCCTCTCTATGTCCCCATTAAGTGTATGTATCCTCTATGTCCCCATTAAGTGTATGTATCCTCTCTATGTCCTCATTAAGTGTATGTATCCTCTCTATGTCCCCATTAAGTGTATGTATCCTCTATGTCCTCATTAAGTGTATGTATCCTCTCTATGTCCTCATTAAGTGTATGTATCCTCTATGTTCCCATTAAGTGTATGTATCCTCTATGTCCTCATTAAGTGTATGTATCCTCTCTATGTCCCCATTAAGTGTATGTATCCTCTATGTCCTCATTAAGTGTATGTATCCTCTATGTCCTCATTAAGTGTATGTATCCTCTATGTCCTCATTAAGTGTATGTATCCTCTATGTCCTCATTAAGTGTATGTATCCTCTATGTCCTCATTAAGTGTATGTATCCTCTATGTCCTCATTAAGTGTATGTATCCTCTCTATGTCCTCATTAAGTGTATGTATCCTCTATGTCCTCATTAAGTGTATGTATCCTCTCTATGTTCCCATTAAGTGTATGTATCCTCTCTATGTTCCCATTAAGTGTATGTATCCTCTCTATGTCCCCATTAAGTATATGTATCCTCTATGTCCCCATTAAGTATATGTATCCTCTCTATATTCTCTTTAATTTTGTTTCGAATATCCTCTCTTCTCTCTACGACCTAAACTTCTCTCTAGCTTTTTATGTATATGTGTGTACGTGCGTGTATGAATAAATGTATATATGTATGTGTATATGTGTTTATGTATGTGTGTATATTTGTGTGTGTGTGTGTGTGTATGTGTCTGGTATGAATAAGCATGTAAGAGTGTGTACATGTGTATGATTTTGTCTGTATGATGTGTGTATGCATTATTTCATTATGTATATTTTTATATAAACATTACATGAATTACTCATAACATGCAGTTGTTGTGTGAAAGATTAGTGCTTTTAAGGGCCGAATTTAAGACGGGCTTGCATGCCCAATTTGTAACCCTTTGAAAATAAAGTTTATTCGTTCTTCAACTTTAACTCTTTCATCTCCTCCTATTTCTTTATTTCCTTCCTTCTTTCTGTCTCCTCTTTAACTGGGTCTCTCATCTCCTCTCCTCTCTCTCTTACTCCTTTTTAATTTTGTCTATCTCTTCTCTATCTCTGACTCGCAGAGCATATTGAGAAAGTTGAAGACAGGCATGCTCCGTGCAGAGTGGGAAGCATCACTTCAGAGGTCCAGGGTAGTTAGTGTTCTTTGGATATTTTCTCCAGAGTATGCAGGTGTTTTGGCAAATGAACAGGCAGATAGATTGGCTGTTTCTGTACTATTTGGTGCTGAATTGATGTATGACAAGCTAGATGTTATAAGGGTCCTTTGGGAGAGAGTGAACTGAGAGAAGGCACAAACAGATCATTACGGTCTGAGGAGGATGGCGTTGCAAGGAGTTACCAGAAGATCTTGCCGATGTTGAGCACTCAAGGAAAGGTGAGCCCAAGATACCTCAGACAGTTACTGGTGCCATCGGAATTGGAACTCTTTGCTTGCTGCTGAAGATAGGGATTTTTTTATAAGGAGTAGAAAATTATAGGGAAGAGAAAAAGTTGGTAAGAAACAACAATTAGTTTATGTTAGCTTTACAAAATCGATCACAATAAACAAACAAAGGACGTTGCGGCGATTAGCCTTCATCAGCACATAAAGGACAACACAGTACACATACACAAATAGGCTCTAACTATGAAGTGACTACATAGGACTCTAATGTATAGAATAAACGATACTCATCTAGTGTCCCTGGCGAAAAAACTTCGTTCAATGAAACGACGGTCAGCCTATATACCTCCAACGCGCAGGTAGGGGCAAAAAAAGGGACGGGTTGGATGCCAACAGCGTACACTGAGTGTCTAAGGAGGGAGGGGTTGGCCTATAGGGCGTAACCGGGGTTGGGTTGTGGGGATGACCTTAGTCCATCCGCATGGAATAAAAGTGGTGCCTGTGCTTGCAAACAAATATCGACAGACAGACAGCTAGATAGATAGATAGATAGATAGATAGATAGATAGATAGATAGATAGATAGATAGATAGATAGATAGATAGATAGATAGATAGATAGAATAGTGATGAAGCGCTTATGAGTGTCCGGAGTGCTGTGTCGTTCGTAATTCAGCATTCAACATTTTCTATCTCATCTCCATATTAACTTTGCTTTTTTTTCTGTCCCTTCTCTGTATTTTCTCCTGTTTCTCTCCACTGTGTCTCCTTGTTTGTGTGTCACAGTGTACGTACATGTATGTTATTGGTTCATAACAAATCCCACTGCATATTTCAGATCTGGATCAAACGAAACAGCGACAGCTCCAAACTGAGGATTTATTTATCACAGTTCCATAAAGGCAAATATATCATGAAGAAGAGGAGCACATAGCAGTCTGGAGGGTTTCTGTGTGCCTGTGTATGCATGCATGTGCCTGTGTAGGTGTGTGCGCACACGTGCCTGTGTGTGCGCGCACGTGCCTGTGTGTGCGCACATGTGCCTGTGTATGCTTGCATGTGCCTGTGTAGGTGTGTGCGCGCATGTGCCTGTGTGTGCGCACATGTGCCTGTGTACATGTGTGCGCGCATGTGCCTGTGCGTGCATGTGCCTGTGTACGTGTGCGCGCTTGTGCCTGTGTGTGCGCGCATGTGCCTATGTGTGCATGTATGTGCCTGTGTACGTGTGTGCGCACGTGTGCCTGTGTGTGCGTGCATGTGCCTGTGTGTGTGTGCATGTGCCCGTGCGTGCATGCATGTGCCAGTGTGTGCATGCATGTGCCTGTGTGTGCGCGCATGTGCCTGTGTGTGTGTGCATGTGCCCGTGTGTGCATGCATGTGCCAGTGTGTGCGTGCATGTGCCTGTGTGTGCGCGCATGTGCCTGTGTGTGCACGCATGTGCCTGTGTGTGCGCGCATGTGGTGTGGTTGTTTTAATTTCAATACTTTTATATTTTTTTAATATCATAAAATTTGTAACACCAAAATAACAGAATATAACATACAGATATGACCGTTTGTCCTGTATGGCTCTGAAATTTGGAGTACAGCTAAACAAGATTTAAGCACTATTTTGATAACTATCTCATGAAACGTTGAGAGAATGGTGAGTGAAAAGCAGTAATAAAATGTATAATCTGTTGAAGGAAGATACCGTAGTGTGTCAGCTAGACACTCGCTTGTGGATCAGAAGATGGTGGGTTCGGGTCCTGACAGCTGAACATTTTTTTAAAAATGACCTTGGCTGCCAGATTGACCTAGCATTGAGTGGTTACCAGGTAAAGTCCTGGGAAGTAAAGGTGGTCAGCGTGATGTTGACCACATAAACCCACCGAGTGCTGATTGATCTATAAAATATAAGTCTAGCCCAAAGTGCCCAATACACCTGAAGATGGGGAAAAGGTTCCTTTTATAATCTGTTGACATCACCGTTAATTACTGGTGTCATTAGAGCTAATAGACTGCAGCCATTGGGGCTAATAGAGAGAATGACAGATAACAGGGAGACAACTCACAGAGCATGTTGAGAAAGGTGGAGACAGGCATGCTCCGTGCAGAGTGGCAAGCATCACTTCAGAGGTCCCAGGTAGTTAGCATCCTTTGGAGATTTTCTCCAGGTCATGCTGGTGTGTTGGGAAATGAGCAGACCGATAAACACCAACTGGGAAGAAAGGGTCTGTCACAGCGATGAATGCAGGCTGGTGATATTTGTAACAATGAACAACATCAAGGGCTTGAAATGTAAAAGAACGATATTGTCAATTCCTTACTTACGTCCTTTTCAGGAGGTAATTTTTTCTTATTTGAAGCCCCACTCTGGCTTTTGCCAGGGGCCGCAATATAGGCAGGCCATAAATATGGCCAATTGTCTGCATGCGGTTTCTGTGACCTCTCCACGGTGATCCTCATCCGCATGGTGGCACTTTGTGTCATCGGGTGTTTATTGCTTGTGTGATGTCCTGGTGGGGTAGAAAGTCAGTCAGTCAGTCAAGAATATTGTTGACATAAATGTGCAAGTAGAATTTATAATAAAAACTATCATATGGTATATTCTAATTTTTTTGTTTTTGTTTCAAGCAGTATTTACATCTTCTTCTTCTTCTTTGCGTACACCAGCTGTATACTCTGGCGGAAAGTTCTGGTTTCTCGTCCATTACTGAACTGCAGTCCTGCTCCAGAACCTGAGTGTTGCGTGTGCATCAGTTTTACAGATCTCATTCTCTTGAATACAGACTGTTGGTTCCTTGCCTCTCCGGCAGATGCACTCCGACTTCAAAGGAAGCTCCCCAATTAGTCGACTCTTACGACATGCTTTTGGGGGAGGCAGTGGGTCTATTCTTGTTTTCCCCACAATGGGGCCCCCGGAACCCACACGGGGGAGTATTTACATCTGAGAACACTGAATGTTACAAAGAAAAGGCTCACAAAACACATTGGAGCATCTGTGTTTGTGAATGTTCATGTGGCGTGTTATTTCTTATTTCAGTACTTTGTGAATGTTCATGTGGCGTGTTATTTCTTATTTCAGTACTTTGTGAATGTTCATGTGGCGTGTTATTTCTTATTTCAGTACTTTGTGAATGTTCATGTGGCGTGTTATTTCTTATTTCAGTACTTTGTGAATGTTCATGTGGCGTGTTATTTCTTATTTCAGTACTTTGTGAATGTTCATGTGGCGTGTTATTTTCTTATTTCAGTACTTTGTGAATGTTCATGTGGCGTGTTATTTCTTATTTCAGTACTTTGTGAATGTTCATGTGGCGTGTTATTTCTTATTTCAGTACTTTGTGAATATTCATGTGGCGTGTTATTTCTTATTTCAGTACTTTGTGAATGTTCATGTGGCGTGTTATTTCTTATTTCAGTACTTTGTGAATGTGTGAATGACATGTTTAATAGCACAGATGATTGTGTACTCTCATATTTTGTTCGTTATTACAACTTCTTCTTATTAGAAGAGATGTAACACTGAATGTTACAAGGGAAAAGATCACATGGCACATAACTGTGTGTATGTTTTGTTTCTGTGTACTTTGGTTCCCTGTGTGGGTTCTGAGGCCTTTTGTAGGGAAAACAAGAACAGACCCACTACCTCCTCAAAAGTGTCGTAAAAATAAACTAATTGAGAGCTTCCTTTGAAGACGAAGTGCACCTGCCTGAGAGGCATGGAACCAACAGCTGCATGCAAATAAGTGATATCTGTAAAACGATTGCTCATGCGACACTCAGGTTCTGGTAAAAAAACAAAGACTAAAAATCCAGAAGTGGGTGAACAACCAGAAATTTCCGAAGGACGCTGGTGAACGCGAAGAAGAAAGAAGTACTTTGTCAGTGTCTGTGGCTTAGGGGTTGTGAACAAGCTTGGTAATGCCACATCAATCTCATTTATAGGTGATTTGGCAGCAGACCCTTGACCTTCCAATCCATAGGCAAGCATCTCACCGCTGCACCATGGCGATTAATTAAAATTGTAGGGGTTATTTAATTTTCCATGTAAACAAAGAAAGCATGATAAATCAGGTTTATCCTTTTCATTAAAATTAATTTAGATGGATGGTTTTCTTGGGTTTGGTTTTAATATTCCCATATGGTTTTCTTGGGTGTGGTTTTAATATCCCATATGGTTTTCTAGGTTTTGTTTTAATATTCCCATATGGTTTTCTTGGGTTTGGTTTTAATATTGCTATATGGTTATCTTGGGTTTTGTTTTAATATTCTCATACAGTTTTCTTGGGTTTGATTTTAATATTCCCAAATGGTTTTCTGGGTTTTAATATTTCCATATGGTTTTCTTGGGTTTTGTTTTAATATTCCCATTTGGTTTTCTGGGTTTTGTTTTAATATTCCCATTTGGTTTTCTTTGAAATTTTGAAAAAAGCAAAAGACTGCACCAGGGCCTGATGGTGTCAGGTATGGTCACATGAAGGCTTTGAGCGATGTAGACCTGGCAGAGATGGCCGACTGTTTTAACCAGAGCATTAAGACAGCATCAGTACCGCAGGACTGGGTGCACAGCTGTCTAATCCCATTACCAAAACCCTTTAAAGATCATTCTAAACTTAGTGGCTTTAGAATCATAACCTTAGAAAACACATTTAGGAAGGTCTTCGAAAAGATAGTTTCTGTAAAGCTGCAAGAATTTTTGGAAAGGGGGAAGCTTCTCCCAAGAGGTCTGGGAAGCTACAAGCCAGGAAAACACTTGGGCAAATGCGGCCACTTTTGCTTTTGACGTCTATGAAGGGTTCCAGAATTAAACTCAAAAAAGTTTACACTCAAGTTAAGACACAGACAGCACGTTACAATGTTAACCTTTCAAGAGAAAAAGACATTGCCACTAAATTTATAGTAAAACTCAAGAGTAGATTTCAAACCCTATCAAGTGACCCAGAAACTACAATCAGCATTCAAGACAGATGGAACCAGATCAAAGAAACATACAAATCAACTAGCAATAACATATTAGGAACCAGGAAACAACACCACAAAGAATGGATAAGTAGTCAAACCATGGACTATATTGCCAAGCGAAAAAGAATAAAGAGCCTCATAAATCACACTAAATCAGAACGTCAGAAAGACAAACTAATGTTAGAATATAGCGAACTAAATAAAATGACCAAGAAAAGTGTCAGAGCTGACAAGAGAAGATTTATGGAAAATCTTGCAGAAACAGCAGAAAATGCTGCTAAAGCACATGATCTACAAACCCTACACAAAATTACCCAGCAAATTTGTGGAAACAGAAACAATTATCACAGCATACCCATCAGAGATAACCAAGGCAGACTGCTCACCACAGAACAAAAACAAGACATGCAGTGGACTAAACACTTCTCCGACCTCTTGAACAGACCTGATCATGAAAGTCCCCCAGATATTCAACCAGCCTCTCAGGACATTGACATTATTACTCAACCACCAAGCAAACAAGAAATCCTTAAAGCTATCCACACTTTAAAGAACAACAAAGCACCAGGCAAAGACGAACTGCCAGCAGAACTTCTCAAAGTAGATCCCAACACAACTGCTAGCATTCTAGAACCATTGTTCAAGGATATTTGGGAAAAAGAAGTGTTGCCTGATGACTGGACTGAAGGAACAATAGTCAAAATCCCCAAAAAAGGAGACTTAACAGACTGCAATAATTTGAGGGGAATTACTCTACTCTCAGTACCAAGCAAAATATTTTGTAAAATCATTCTAATGCGGCTTGAAAAAGGAGTAGATAAATGCCTACGAGTGGAACAAGCAGGATTTAGAAAGGACAGAGAACAACTGAGCACATCTTGGCCATACGTAACATTTTAGAACAATGCAACGAATGGCAGAGAAGTATATATATTAATTTTGTGGACTTTGAGAAATTTTGACAGCGACCATAGAGACGGTCTGTGCA